TTCAAAGGCAAGAGTACTACCAACTGACCCAGGCTGACATACGTTTGCTAATTCCAGTCTGTTGGACCCTCTCTAGTGTCGACTCATGAAATTCCTGTCATTCTGTTGTATGACGGAAGGTCTCAATCCAATCCGGATAGAACCGAAATTACCACATGTCATCAAAGTTTGTATTGAGTGGACTGAATAAGTGCTTATTACAAGCGCTTGTAATGCAGAGATATAGTAACAAATCTGATTTTGTATATAAACAGAAGTTCTAACTGTGGCTACAAAAGGCAGCTGAAATTATTTTTTTCAGAAAAATATTGAAAACATATTGTTATTGTTAAATACAGAGTCACCAGTTGACTCAGTCAGCTGGTTCTTTTTATTCCACATTCAGGATATGCCTTGCTTTCACTTTTATTCATGAAGTTTATGATCTGGAATCATTCATTGCTGCAAGCGTAAGTATTCAGTCTTCTCGTTGCCATGGATGCTCCCGCAAACTGTTCAAATCCCCCTGTTATTATCTTTGCAGTTTAACATTTTTTGGGATCCTTCACACATGAGTACAGGCAATTCTTTGCAGTATGATAGTTGGTTTTTCAATAAGATAGAAATAAAATACCAGCTCTCTGAACTGATCTTGCCAGCAATGGAAAACAGATCATGGTAACCAACAATGACTGACTGATAGTATGCCAGTACATTTTTTTAATATATAGTTTCTACAATGAAAAAACATCTAAAAGACCATCATATTAACTACTTTCATATGTAGTGACTGTTTTTTTGTGGATGTACATACAAGCTATTTTGCACACAGCAAAGTCCCTCAAAAACTATGAGTTGAATGCCCTATTTATTTGGAGGATTGTTGGTTGGGACACTGGAAGAAACTCCTTTCTATTTTTAATCATGTATGGAGGACTTTTAACATCCACCTGCAGAACGAATAGCAGGTCATTTTAAGATAAAATATTGGAATTCATATTATTTTCTTAAACCTCCTCCCCTGCCCTCCAGAAAAATCATTAAATATGTCCCTTTATGCTTGATGGTAATACATTAATTTCATCCCTTCAAGTTTTAATATTATGAATCTGAAATGATTTTAAATATTGGCTGTTGATCAGGGAAATGTCATGTGTTTACTTACTGAGTTTCCTGGTGGAATTTTGAGATTGCCTATTCTGCTATTTTATCTTTGTGTCTGTCACTATCAGTATTTTGCTGCTTTCTTTCTGTTGATGTATTTTTGTTTCCTATCTCAATGACTCAGGCCTATATCCCCGTATTCTTTTACAACATGTAACTTTATAGCGTTCAGTCCCAATTGCTCAAAAGGAGCTTTCTAATTATACAATACAATACAAATAACATTTCACGTCGGGAGGACGTCCCAAGAACTTAATTGATGATAATGAGGACCTTATGATGGACCTAAAACAAAAACAGAGAGAGCTGGGAAAACTCAGCAGGTCAGGCAGCATCTATAGAGAAAGGAAAGTGAGTCAACGTTTCGGGTCCACGACCCTTTATCAGAACTGGGGCATGTTGAGAGGGAAAGGTTTTTAAGGACAAGTTGAGGGGGGAGGCAGGACAAGGACGACAAAGAAGACAAAAAAGAAAACAAAAGAGAGAATGTGTTAGTTGATGGGTTAAAGAGGTGATAGGGATGTAATACCTGCTCTTTCACCTCCTCCCAGACCACAATCCAAGGCCCCAAACACAGTTTCTATGTAAGACAACGGTTTACATATACTACCACCAATGTAATATACTGTATCCGCTGCTTATGGTGTGGTCTCCTCTATACTGGGGAGATGAAGTGCAGATTGGGTGACCGATCTGCAGAATGCCTCCGTTCTGCACGCAAGGTCAACCCTGATATTCCAGTCTCCTGCCATTTCAACTCACACTCCTATTCACAGTCTGACCTCTCCATCCATGGTCTCCTATGCTGTTCCAATGATCCACAGCGAAAGCTTGAGGAACAACATCTTATCTATCCGCTAGGGACCCTACAGCCTTCTGGCCTCAATATCATTTCAGCCACTTCAGACCATACCAGTGAATAATAACAATCCTTGCATTTGATACAGCTCACCTTCCCCCCACCCCCCCCCTTTCTGTTACCAGAAGAGTTATCTTCTATTATCATTACAATCATCACCCCAGATACTCTTTGACACTCTGGTATGTTGCCTGTTCTGCACCATTAACACCTCTTCTCCCCAGTTTTGTTTCAACACACACCCTTTTTGTTGTACAACCCCCCCTTTTGTTTTAGGTCACTATCACCTCTCTCTCTTTAACCCATCAATTTTGTCATCCTTGTCCTGCCTCCCCACCTCAACTTGTCCTTAAAAGCCTCTCCCTCTCAACATGCCCCAGTTCTAACGAAGGGTCGTGGACCCGAAACGTTGACTCACTTTCCTTTCTCCATAGATGCTGCCTGTCCTGCTGAGTGTTCCCAGCTCCCTCTGTTTTTGTTTCAGATTCCAGCATCTGCAGTATTTTGTGTTTTGTTTATGATGGACCTAGTCTTGTTTACATTTATATCCAGAAGTAAATGGCAACCAAGAATTACCCCACTTGGACAGTTGTGATATTGTAGATTCTCAGGACAACCCGTCCTTTGGATGAGACATTAAACTGTGATTCCACCTGCCTGTTAAGGTGAACGTTAAAGATCCCATGGATCTATTCAAACAGAGAAGGGAGTTTCTCGCCGTTTTCTGGCAAATAATCCCCAGAATAAAGTTGGTAATTTACTCCATGGCTGTTTGTGGGACACTATTGTGTGCAACTGGCTGCAGAGTTTTGCCCACAAACTACTCAGTCAAATGCACTTTACAGTATATGTATCAGTGAAGAGCTTTGAGACGTCTCAATAATTGTGACAAAGCCAGTTGATGACATGATCAAATGCAAGGATATTATTATTTTTATTACTATTCAGTCCTGATTGTTTTTTGAAGCTATTGTTAACACATAATATGTCTGACCTATCTGTTTGTCTGTCTCTCTCTTTCCCTATCATTTGCTGAATATTTTCTATCTTTATGAGAGCTGGAGAAAATTTTAAAAGAAAATTGCCCTCAAATTCACAGTCGCTATGAATATAATAACAATAATCCTTGCATTTGATATAGGACTTATCACATTGTTGAGATGTCTCACATTGCTTGACAGAATATTCTGGAAAGTGAATTGCCTACATTTTGTGGACGAAAAGTGGCAGCTAATTGCACACAACAGTGTCGCACAAATAGTTGTGGGTTGAGAGGCCAATTTTTTTAAAAAAAAGACATCATTGCCCCTGAAAAATTGATCCGCCAATCGACTAATAACCGGGTTCCTACTCACTGTTAGGCAAACAGAGGTGTGTAGAGTAAGTAAATTTGCCTAAGGGTTTTACCCTGCCCAGGAATCAAACCCAGGTCCTCTCAATTGCGAGGTGAGTGCTCTAGCCAATAAGCTACAGGACTCCACTACAACAACAACAACAAAATTACATTTGTATAGCGCCTTTCATGTCAGGAGGATGACACAAGGTGCTGGACAGTCAGTGCTTCGGACCTGAGCTGGGGATCGGGGAGGGTGGTGGGCAGGGGGGGAAGCATGAGATTGAAGGCACGGCTGAAGAGGAGGGTCTTGAGATGGGTCTTGAAGGAGGCAAAGGAGGGGGTGAGGTGGAGGGACTGCGGGATGGAGTTCCAGAGGGTGGAGGCGGAGTGGCAGAAGGCCCGCCCGCCAATGGTGGGGCGGGTGAGGCGGGGGATGTGAAGAAGGCCAGAGCCCAGTGAGCATAGGGAATGGGCAGGATGTGTTAGCAGGTCGCAGAGGTAGGGGGGAGCAAGGCCATGAAGGGTTTTGAAGGTGAGGACCAGGATCTTGAACTGTATCCTCTGTGTGATCGGAAGCCAGCGGAGTCGGGCGAGGATGGGGGTGATAGGGTCACGGAGCCTGGTGGGGGAAAGGACACGGGCTGCAGAGTTCTGGATTATCTGCAGCCTAAGGAGGGAGGAGTTGGGGAGGCTGACAAATACGGAGTTTGCATAGGCAAGCCTTGATGTTATGAATGCGTGTATGCACTATTCTATAGTAAATCCTATGATACACGTTGAGACATTGCAAAACTATAATAAGGCACTATATCAAATGCAAAGATTGTTATTCTTGTATGACTGATTTAATTACATTATTAGCCAAGAACTGCTTCTGGGCATAAATAATGTGCAGGAAATAAGAAATTGAATAGATAATGTAAGAAAGCAGTATATATTGGTTTGAGACACACTGGTAGACTGGTGCTATAAGGGAGAGAAGATTATTGTTGTTTTACAGGTGACTTTCCAGTTGCATATCAAGGCAATCTGATCCAGAGCCCACATTGTAAAATACGATCATTGAAGATGAAGCCTGCTTAGATTGCAGCTTAGTTTAAATTTATAGTTCACGGAAACCTTTTGCTTCATAGATTGTACAAAATTGGCTTGTTGCCACAAATGTCAGGAACCAAATTTGCAACATTTTAAGTTGGCCCACACCTTTCCAAGGTTGATATTCAGTTTGTTATATATTACAATCTTTGTGCAATAATTACTCTTAAATCCACCCTTTTGATCCTCGGGAGGTTTCAGCTGAGCAATGAGTCAGTTTTTTTTGCAATAGACAGAAAAAGAAAACAATAACATCTTGTAAAATGAAAGAAGAGATTCAGCGGTCCACTTTCAACTTCACATCTGGTAGCTATCAAAGGCAGACATGTGTTGGAGAATCCACTGAGTGTCACATTCCAAAGTAACAAAGTCTCAAACTGTTCTTAAATTTCACTGCTCAGCCGTCACAGTTCATTTCAGAATTGGCCTTTATTGAAACAGAAATTACAGCTAAAATGGTGCCCATGTTTAACCAGGTTTTAAATAATAATAATAATGCTTGCATTCCACATAACGTCTTATCACGCTGTTGAAATGTCTCAAAAACACGTATCAGAATTTTTACGGTGTAGTGACTGTGTATCTGCGTTTTCTGGTCTTGGACATGTCTGATATTTTTCAGCTCACTGTCTGCTTGTCCTGGTGGCCGGCTGAAATAAAGCAGAGATAGGAAAAAATAGGGACTGTCACTGAAGTAGAAATTTTCAGTATTCAGACTATTGAGTAACACTGTTACCTCCATTACTAAATTACCCTTATTTTACTTAATCCCATTTCCTGTCTCTTTCCACATATCCCCTAATATTTTTAATGTCCATATGTTTAACCAGATGTTTACCCACTTCCCTTGATAGTCATCGACTACTTTTTGATATCCGGAAGTAAAACCCATGAAATCACTTGAACCCAGTTCACGTGGGATAATGGCAATCACTAATGATTTTTACATTTTACATTTAACATTCTATTGTGTTATTTGCACTGTGTGGCTATGAATCAAATTGTCTGGCTGGAAATGGTAGGAAATGGACACACAGTTAGCTCATCTTTTGACATGAAAAAGCCTGTAACTAGGGCTCATGATTTTAATGTTTTGTTTTATCCTGCATTTGAGGAGGAAAGGGAATGAATTCACTTGTCTGCAAGGAAACAGAAAATTTAGGTTAATCATCGGCCAAATGACTTTTGGAACTGAAGTCATCCATTGAAATAGAAAGATCAGTAGTTGGAGAGAAAATTCTGCTTTGCAAGGATTTCATTTTTAAAAAAAGAATAGTTTCAATGCCTGAGAGGCACTCACTGCCAGTTCCAGTCAGCATTAATGAACTGCTGTGTTGTACAGATTCAAAAGAGCTGAAAATGACATTATACAGTCAGAAATGGCTTCACAGAACTTCAGTAATTTTCATCTTCCTTTCTAATATATTTTGCTGCATGCTCTGCTGAATTTGTAGCATGGGTAATTGTGGATCCCTGTATCTCAAAGTGAAAAGCAGCTGAGGACTTTTGTAGTTAATGCATTTTTTAAATATGATACATTTTCTTAATAAAATCCCATTATTTTTTCCTCTCCATGTTTCATCCTGATGTACTGCTTCTATGTCTATGACAAACTCAAAACATGGATCTTTTAACTCAGTTTAAGGGATGACTAGTTCAGGGCTTCACAAACTGACTCCCATTTTGCATGTCTCCCACTCCCGCTATAATCTCTCTGTCTCTCTTTTTGTCTTTCTCTCTCTTCCCTCCTAACCCCCTACCAACCTGTTTGCTCACTCCTCTTCTGGCCTGCTTCACGTCCCCCGCCGTGCCCACCTCACCATTGGCGGGCAGGCCTTCAACCTCTCTACCCCCACCCTCTGGAACTCCATCCCACAGACCCTCCTCCTTGTCCCTTCTCTTGCCTTCACCAAGACCTGTCTCAAGACTCTCCTCTTCGACCGTGCCTTCAGTCACCCTCCTACCCCTACCCTCTCTGCCCTCCACCTCTTTTAATCCCAACCACCAGCTCAGGTGCGGATCCCTGACTGTCCAGCGCTTTGGGACGTCCTACTGACATGAAAGGCGCTATACAAATGTACCTTGTTGTTGGTGGTGGTGGTGGTATCACCTGCTTTTCAAACCATGATTGACCACTTGATCTGCCAGTGGAGGATTGCAGGGCTCACGTGCAACATTCTCATTAAACAATCCTTCATCTGAGATATTAAACTGAGGTGCATCCTGTCTGCCTGTTCAAGTGGATGTTAAAGACATTAAAGATCCTTTGCCACTATTTGAAAAGAGAAAGGAATTAGGAAGGCATACACACACACCTAGGGAGACAATCTGCTGCAGTATGTGATGTGATAATTATGACAGTGAGCTAAAAAGCAGGAGCATCTTTTGCAGGTTGGGAGAAACTATTTTCTTAAAGTTTTGGAGGAGGGGGAGGCTATTAAACAGCATTAAACACGTTGATAAGGACAGGTTTAAAAGGATGCACTTTTAACTGCCATTTTCTGCCATTGTGCTAGTTATATGCCATATATTCCCACTTTCAAAAAACTTACCTGCATACACATGTTTCGCGAAGCTGTTGTACATTTTCATAGCATGCAGTTTATAGAAAACAAATAGGTGTCAGCATGTCTCTGTTGCTGGCGGAGGACTGCAGGATGGAGATCCAGAGTGTGGGGTCAGAGTGGCAAAAGACCCATGGCCAATAGTGAGCAGTGCTGGATGGAGGTGTACTGCATTGTTGGAGGTACCATCTTTACAATGATACATTAAACTGAGGTCCCGTCTACCTGTTCAGGTGGACAATAAACTATTTGAAAAGAGTAGGTAGTTTCTTCCAATGTCTTGGTGAACAATCCCCCAAATAAAATTGGTCATTCATTTATTTATTTCATAGCTGTTTGTAGGATGTTGTTGTTTGCAAATTGGTTGCTGCTTCGTTTACAAAATACATTGTATACAATAGTATAAAAAATATGCTTTAGAGTACATCCTATGAAGTTCTTGGAGATGTCCTCCCAACATGAAATGCATATATATATATATATCGAAATGCAAAGATTATTACTGATGTGTTAGGTTTGCTGACATGGTTACATATACACCTGGAGCAGTTTGTTTCCAAGGGTTGAATCAATGTATTTGTTTTGAGCTCCCCAGGATCGATGGGATCTAAGTTAACTGAAGATCTCCACTGTTAATTTCGCTATCTTTGGCTTCAGTCAGGTCATTGTTGATTTATTTCCCTTCCTGAAGTGATTTGATTGTTTGCAGCAGCTAGTATTAAGCATATTTCCATGAAAGGGTCTTAAGGCCGCCTGGCATTTCCCCAGATCCAGGCACACATCACAAATACCTCATTCAGATGCATCTCAAAGGTGTATTGGCCTCATTTATGCAGAAGAACATCTCAATGCACTTAACAATGATTGTGAGTTGAAATTCGGAGAAAATTCATAATACCTGAGACATGCAGCTTGCATTAACAGGTCCACTAAAACAATGCTTGCCCATTGAAGAGTTGACCTGAGCAATAGGTAAGTGTAATGACGGTATTGATCTGCACCAAGAGATTGTGATTTCACGATACTCAATGATCCAGTGATTTGCATCAGTTCTCATGAAAATGACAACACAGATGCCCTTTGACCAATGCTGGAGGTAGCTGACTGGCTGAGTCCGTCTACTCTAATCACAATTCCATGCTATCTTCTTGTACACTCATATACTTCTATTAGACTGTAACTGACTTTGCTGATAGGGTGAAGTCTTGCTCCTGCTGGTGCAGCTGTGGATAATGCAGCACCAAGAAATCTATGCTCACTTTTTCAATGAAAATCGAGCAACATAAATCCCAGCCACACCTCCACTCTCCTGCCCCCTAAATAGAAAACTGACAAATTGGCTGTTGAATTTAAACATGTGACTGGTGTGTAATAAGTGATTTCATTATAATACTAATAATCCTTGCATTTGATATTGAGTCTTATGTTATCAAGTCGTTTCAAAGCGCTTCACAGAATATACTGTAAAGTGAATTGACTGTATATTTTGTGGGCAAAGCTCAACAGCTAATTGCGAACAACAGTGTCCCACAAACATTTGTGGATTGAATCACTGCACTTTTTTTTAAAAGGGATAATTACCCTCAGAAAAGCGATCTGCCAATTGACTAACAACTGGGTTCCAACTTACTGATAGGTAAACAGAGGCATGTGGAGTTAGGAAACTTGCCTAATGTTTCATCCTGCCAGGAATCAAACCCAGGTCCTCTCACTCACGAAGCGAGTGCTCTGAGCACTAAACTACAGGACTCCACAATATTCTTCTTATGGATGTTTAGCTTCCTGTAGTTCAGTGGTTAGAGCACTCGCTTTGCAAGCGAGAGACCTGAGTTCAATTCCAGGCAGGGCGAAAGCTTGGGCAAGTTTCCTTACTCCACACGCCTAATAATAATCCCTCCAAAAACCAAAAACAATAATAAATTGGTCATTTTCAATCTACGACTGTTTGTGGGACATTGCTGTGCACAATTGGCTGCCGCGTTTGCCCACAAATATACAGTCAATTCACTTTACAGTGTGTTCTGTGAAGCGCTTTGGGACGTCCTCCCGACGTGAAAAGTGCTCGATCAAATGCAAGGATTATTATTATTATTAACCAGTTATACTATTGGAAGTTAATTCCAAAGAATCCATCGCTACTTTCACATTCTTTGTCAAGGATAATAATAACAATAAAAATCCTTACATTTCACATAGTACCTTCCATTTAGAGCCAGCATCTCAAAGTGCTTCACAGGAGATACTGCAAAATGGAGTAAATGTGTACCTTGTGGGTGAATACAGTAGCCAGTTTGTGGAAACAGCCATGGGATGAAAAACATATAAAGAAATGAATGTCTGAACAAAAGGTCTGAAATTTCACTTGGGCTTAGCCTATGAGGCCTGTGTTAAAATTTTGTCTTAAAATTTAAGGTGTACAGAATTATAGAAAATTCTCAAATTCAGTATTCATTTTGGAAGCCTGTTTTCAGCTTTCTTAAAAAGAAACTGGCATCTAAATCAAGACAGAATTTATGAAGTTTCCACAATTATGTACGATCTTCAATTGTAAGACAAAATGGTCATACAGGTCAAGATATAGGCCGAATTCTGAGCCGTGTAAATTCAATCGCACTGTCTGTAGCTGTGTAAATTCAATCACATTGCCATCTTAGTTGAAACACCAGTAAGCTTACAAACAGGACAATCATAGTAATGTAAACTAGCAGAAATTCATTTTGCTTTTGTCTTTGATCCAATTGGTGAAAGACAATTCGTTATCTGGCATATTAAAAAAAAGGCAGTACTATAATACAAAGAGCCTTGAAAAACATGGAAGTAATTCACTATGAAGCTCCACAGACAAAACAAAATCTGCATGCTTCCCATTAGGAAATAGAAGATAATTCATTTGTAAATAGGCCACAGCTGATTCACAAGTTTGCTGCTCAGCAAGTTTACTTAAAAATATTTGCTGCATCCTCTCTGCATTTAAATGGTGCCAAGTGAGTTTCTCTCTCATTCAGCATCAGGACAACTGAGCTTGAATGATAACAGTGGGAAGGCTGCCTGACACAATAAAGTGACAAATATGAAGCGACTTTGGGGAATGCTGTGATGAAATTGTGCATCCAGTTGGATCTGCAACTGGTACTGAGTGTGATTATTGTGGGAATGGCTGTTAGTGCAACAGAGCAGCGAAATGCTGGCAGCTGTAATGTGCAGTCTGTTAATTGTGGCATTAGGGCTGATTAAGTCAGCAGTTTTCCCCTTTAATAAACAAGCAGTTGCCACTGTGACAATTGTTACTGGAACAATCTGAGCAAATCTTATAGCTCGCTAAGCCAAGTGCGAGACGGGTGGGGGTACTGTTGGATCATTACGTTTAGCTGTCCCAGCGCATTTGTGAAAGAAGACTTGCTGTTATAGGAACATAGGAACAGGAGTAAGCCATTCAGCCCCTCGAGTCTGTTCCACCATTCTGTAAGATCGTGGCTAATCTGTACCTCACATCCAATTACCAGCCCTTGCCTCATATTCCTGGATATCCTGACCTAATAAATATCTATCCACCTCAGTCTTGAACATTTTGATGGATCCAGCATCCTGTTTGGGGAGGGGAAATAAAAATAATAATATTGATAATAATTCTTGCATTTGATACATGGATTTGGCAAAGTCCCCTTTCCACCATTTCCATATCATTGACTACCCTCATTCCAACCTCAATCAGCTGAAACCCTCACCCACAGTTTTGTCATCTCTGGACTTGATTTCTCTAATGCCCTGCTCACTGACATCAACAGCTCTAATCTCTGTAAACTCCAGATCACCCAGAACTTTCCCTTCCCTATCAGGCTCCACGAGTGCATTACCCCCATTACTCACCAGGGTCCACTTGCTTCCTAAACCTCAGCAGGTAGACTTTAAGATCCTAGCTCTAACCTTCTAACCTTTGCTTGACTTTAAGTTCCTTGCTGTACATCAGCAAGGGTTTATAAGTAGGGGAATAGAGTACAAGAGTCACGAGAGTATACAACACTGGTTAGGCCTCAGTTGGAATACTGCGCCCAGTTCTGGGCCACACACTGTAGGAAGGATGTTAAGGCATTGGAAAGGGTGCAGAGGAGATTTACGAGGGTGATACCAGGAATGAGGGACCTTGATTATGAGGAAAGGCTCGAGAGGCCGGGATTATTCTCATTGGAGCAGAGAAGGTTACGAGGAGACCTAATAGAGGTTTTCAAAATCATGAGGGGATTTGATAGCTTAGAAAGGGAAAAACTATTTCCACTGGTGGGTGGGTCGGTGACTTGAGGTCACAGATTTAAAATAGTTTCTAAAAGAAGCAGAGGGGAGGTGAGAAGAAATGTTTTCACGCAGCGAGTTGTTTGAATCTGGAACGCATTGCCTGAAAGGATGGTGGAGGCAAATTCGATAACAACTTTTAAAAATGCGGTGGATGGGTATTTGAGGAGGACGGGTTTACAGGGTTATGGGGAAAGGACTAGGGAGTGGGATTGACATTGCATTGCTCTTTGCAAAGAGCTGACAGACTCAATGGACCGAGTGGCCTCTTTTTGCGCTGTACGATTCTATGATTACTGCCCCACCTTACCTCTATCATATCCTGTGTTCCTAATCCACCCACTCCCTTTGCTCTACAAACTCAAGCTTGCTTTATGTCTCCCATCCTCTCTGCATCACCACCTCCAAAGGAATTTTCAGCCACTTTGACCCCGATCTCTGGAACTCTCTCAAAATCCATCCATTTCAGGCCCTCCCTTTCTGCTTTCAAAACCCTTCTAAAAATCTATCTCTTTGATTGTGACTTGAGCCACCTTTCTCCTACCCCTCCTATATTCCACCATGCTTGGGCTCACTCTCTAAATCTGTAAAGCTCTGTGAGATGTTTTCCTAAGTGCCAAGTGCAACTTAAGTTCAAGTTATTTTTGTTGAATTTCAGCCTGAACTATTCTTTACCCAGAGGGCAATTACCGACTGGAGCAGGTTGCTGGTATAGTGGTTGAAACCAAAACATTGGACTCAGGCAGCTTGCTGCTATGATTGGGGATGGTGAGTGTTCTGCAAGTATGAGATCAGATGGGCCAAGGGGCCTTCTTCTTCTAAACCAATCTTGAGGCTGTAATTCATATCCTGAAAAAAATGCAACTAGTTTACAGGGAAGTGAGGGAAAGCTTCCAATAATTTCAGTCTTACTCTTTTGGGCAAATACCAAACTATGACTGTGGTTTTTGCTATCAAGTTTAGACACAGTCCTGGGAACAATTGGACAGAGTCAACAGTTTTACTGAGTCGCAGAAAACAGGATAGCAGTTGGGTTAGCGCTATGTGGCAATAAAACTTCCCTTTTTCAGCAGGCTCCACTCCACATATAATTGGACAAGGCAGTTTGAATTAAGTAACACAAGAAGATAAATTGCACAAGAGCCCGTGATTATCATTATTTGTAATTCCTGTGGCCCACTGTCAAGTACCACAAGAACAGAAAAGCTCTGTCCTTTTAGCTGGAAAAACCCTTGTATCTTAAAGTTTAAGATCACACCGAATTATCCAAAATCTTAATTTGAAAGCTGTTTTTCCGCAGTTTCAAAAAGAGAAATGGTATCCAAATTAAAACTGAACTTAAGACTGTTCCATATGTTTGCGTGATCTTACAATGTTAAGATCAAATTATCTTATATGCTGAATAGGCCTTTTAGGCCTTATCTGGAAACAAAGGCTACCTTTTTATTCCATTCGCTATTCATGTTTTCCAGGCACATCCTCTGAGTGACTTCCTGGCTCAATTGGCTCTGTATACTTCCACCAATTATTTTCCAACATGCAAATCAAGGCTAAAAGTCTAACAGGATTACAGTTTCTATTTCAGACAGTTCTAGTCTGACATAACACAGCCTACTGTTCTTCTACTCAACTGTGACTGATAAAACACACTGACTGGGAAGTGAGAAAAATCTAAAAGTAAAAAAGCAAAAGTATACATGCTGTAACACTGTCAAAAGACTCATCGTATTCATGTGATAGACTTGTAACACCATGCAAAAGATTCACAACCACAATACCCCTATTTGAACTATTGCAACATTCATGATGAAGTAACAAATGTGTAGCTCAGTGATTAGAGCACTCGGCTTTCTTACTCCACTCGCTTCTGTTTACCTGGAGGTAAGTAGGAACCTGGTTGTTAGTCGATTGGTGGATCGCTTTTCTGAGGGTAATAATTCCTTTAAAAATATGTGGTTGCTCAATCCATGACTGTTTGTAGAACACTGCTGTGCGTATTTGGCTGCCATGTTTTGCCCAACAAAATATACAGTCAATTCACTTTACAGTATATTCTGTGAAGCACTTTGAGACGTTTCAAAGATGTGATAAAGCACTGTATCAAATGCAAGTATCATTATTAATCAAAATTATGAGAGATTTAGATAGGATAACCAATAAGAAACAATTTCCACTTGTCAGTGAGTTAGTAACTTGAAGAAATAACTTAAGATAATCATAACAAAAATAATGGAGAGTTTAGATTCTGATCACCCTTACAGCAAAGTTAAATCATAAAATAACTTCTACTTTTACCTCAAAGACAAATACAATATTCCTGGACTTTCCCATACACTCTTCGTTTGTTGATGATGTCGGCGAGTAGTGGGGCAAGGAGGTGGAGCTGGGATTTAAGGAGAGGGGTAGAGATGGGGTCCAGGGAGCAGGCGGTGAGCTTCATGGAGGTTACTGTGTTGAAGACAGAGGAGGGGGTGACAGGTTCAAAGGTGTGGAAGAAGGGATGGATAATTGTCGGATGGGTAATTGTGTGTGGGGAGGGTAGGAAGGGGGTGGAAGTTGGGAGGGCAGTGGCAGCTGAGCGGATTCGCTCGATTTTGGACTCGAGGAAGTCCAGCATTTTCTCGCAGTGAGAGTCAGCGGAAAGTATCTGCAAGGCATGTTGGGAGGGGGCGGAGGAGCCGGTTGGTGGTGGGATAGAGGGAGGGAGTTACAGAACCAAGGGTGTAGAATCTGAAACTTCGGCTCTTGAAGGTGACTCCAATAGGGTGGGGGATGCGCAACAAGCCAGAGACAGCCGAGCGGAAGAGTTAAGCAGAGGAGTGGGGTAGGTGAAGACCCCAGAGATAGGGAAGTGCTAAGGCTTGAAGGGATTTATAGGTGAAGGCGAGAACCTTTGAAGTTGCAGTGTTTGGTGCTGGTCAGGATTCGGGCAGAAGAGTTTTATATCAGCATTCAAACATCTTAGATAACACAGAATAATCTATTCTATTTCAATGACTTGCAGCTTATCTCTTTCTCTTTAGAATTTTTTAAATTAAAAAAAAACAGCCCAGTGCTCTCTTGACTACAGTAACTAAGTAGAGAGAAGAGAATCATGTGACCTCTTGGTTTGACAGATACCACAAATACATTTTATATTCTCTCTGGTCTTAGTCTCCAAGGGAAGCTGCAATACTTCTGGTTTTAGCTGATCCTGACCTCCTGAACTTCTTTCTTTTATGAAGAATTAGCGATTGCTTCTGATGTTGTGACATTGCACAATGTTCATCTATGTTCATTCAAGCAGTAATGGGAAGATAGTTGAGACTGTTGTATGGATGCATGAGAGTAAACTGGCTGAAGAGTCTACTCGCTCAAACTATTCTTGTGCTATGTATCAACCTTCACGAAATACATACTACAGATTCAATCTCTCTGCTGTGCTCCTATCATGTACTAATTAAGAGCGGATAATTTGTATGATTGAGTGCCTTGGTCCTCCCAATGTGAAAGACGAAGTGTATATGCAATCTGTCAGTGCTGTTAATTCTTCTGATACCAGCTTCACCTTACAAAACCTTACTATAGTCCCAAGGTTTGAACGTTGCAAGAAAATGCAGATTTCTAATGAAATAAACAAAGATTTTTACTTACAAATGCACAAGTCAGTCCAAGCACTTCTGCGTAACTATTGGAAATTCCCTTGCTGGATACAGTTTTAGTTTGTTTTTTGGCCTAGGGGCGGGAACTCTTCTGCTGCTCCAGCAGTAAACAAAGCTGCGGGTCGCAATGGATTGAGTTTGTGTATCTTGTTTTTTTTGGGGGAGGATGTTTTTTTAATCTCCTTCCTGATCTGCCTAACAGGCATTCCACTCCTCTACATAATCGCTGCCTTAAAAAATAGAGAAGCAAAGCAGGTGACAAATCCTTAGATGCATTGATCTCATGTTCCCTTTTATTCCTTCACTACATAAGTAATAAATTAATAAATAAATAATAAATACATAATAAAAAATATATAATAAATAAATATATACTCAGTTATCCTGTAAAGCACTTTCAAACATCCTGCCTATGTGAAAGGTGCTGCTACATCAAAGGTAAGGATTATTATAGGATTATTATTTTTGTGATCAGCCAGGTGTCTGACACATGCGAAAACCCGTCACTATGCTTAAGAGTAAACCAAATCAGACTGAAAATTCCACCTACATTTGGAAAGTTCACTGTATTTGGAACAGAATGCACACTCTCTTCATGAAAGGATGCATCCTGCTTATCTAATTCCGGAGACTATTAGACGCAGGTTGGCAAGAGTGAAGACTTGTAGATCCCAATGTGTGTGTTGGAGTGCTGCTGGAGTTTAATCAGGTAAAGCCTCACAGCATGCCATTAAAAGCAATGTCTGCAAAGCCTCTCGCTGCTTTTCCTTATAAGACACAGTTGCAGGGTTAACAGGAACTGAGTGGGAAGAATCGTTGTTTCCAGTGCCCCTCAAAGACAGCCGATGAGCCAGCTTGACTGTGCTGTCACCTGCAGTGTAGTGGAGTCCTGCAGACTTGCCTGGCTCAGGAATCAGACTACCGAGATCGCCAAGAGGATTAATTAAATTCCGACATTTCGTTGTCAAACATGTCACCTTGGAACTAGCTCAGCTCCAAGGAGACCCTGCTTATCTGTCCCCTCTCCGAAGGAGGGTAGTTCAGTAGTTGGTCATTTGATATCTGCCAAGCACATGTTTGAGCCATCCCTGGGTGGATGGCAGGTACCATGAACTCCCTGCAAGCTTCCTGATGAGCAGTACAGCAGCATCTTGGGCCTTCTATTTTTTAAGGCAGCTATTGGGCTGCCACAGGTCAGACTTGCTTGCGGTCAGCACAATAGCTGCCTTAAAAATCGAAATCAAAGCAGGAGGCAAAGCCTTGGAAGCTTTGATTTTTAGGTTTTCAGGACATACTGTCATAAATCTAAGGTCCTCCAGAGCTGCACATTAATACTAATTCCCACTTGCATTTTTAATTAACATTATGTATGAATAATGACATGAGGTTACATTATTTAAAGAAGAATTTAAATAAATATTTGACTGGGTGACACTGGTCCATCACTTGCCTTGAGCCTTTGATAGATTTTAGGCAGTAAACTGATGAGGTTGTGATATTTATTGTGCAAGAAACTCAGTTGTCTGTCAATTTTAATTATGTATTCGGGAGATTCCCTCCATTATAATCGATGATCATGGTTCCGCTGAATTTCACCCCTTGATTTTACTTGGGATTTCAGTGTAATGCATTGCCTGAGAACAGTGTCTGAATCTTCATCCAATTAATCAATTTTTCCAGGTGGTTTCCGCCTGTCTCTAGCGCTGTACTTTGTCAACTCTCTTCATGGTATGGTGATGGAGATATCCTTTATAGCAACATAACCTGAAACAAGCTGATGCCAAGATTAACAGAAGTCATTTAACTTTCTGTCTCATTTTTGTCTTCTCCCTAACTAAACACATGTACTTGCTGCTCTCATGATATTATGTGTGTTACCTCATTGCACATGACCTCTTCCCATACAGATACATTTAAACTGATTGTGAATAATAATATAAATACTTATATTTGATGTGATCCTGTGGAGTCCTGTAGTTCTGTGGGTGGAATTCTGTAGCTCAGTGGTTAGAGCACTTGCTTCGCAAGCAAGCGACCTGGGTTTGATTCCTAGCAGGGCGAAATGTTGGGCAAATTTCCTTACTCCACACTCCTCTGTTTACCTAGCAGGAAGTAGGAACTCAGTTGTTAATCAATTGACGAATTGCTTTCCCGTGAGTAATAATTTCTTCAAAAATTAATAATAATAACAAATTGGTCACTTCAATCCATGACTGTTTGTGGGGACACTGCTGTGCTCAATTGTCTGCCGCGTTTCGCTCACAAAACATACAGTCAATTCACTATACAGTATATTTTGTGAAGTGCTTTGAGATGTCTCGAAGATGTGATAAGGTGCTATATCAAATGCAAGGATTATTATTATTATTATCATTGATAGTTTGTGTCAACTTGGCTCAGTTAGTAGTTTGGATGAGATGTTAAACCAAGATCCCGCCTGCCTGTCTAGGTGGACGTTAAAGATCCCACGGCACTACTCGAAAAGAGAAGGGAGTTTCTCCAGGTGTACTGGCCAACAATCCCTCAAATAAATTGGCCATTCACACGTGGCTATTTGCGGACATTGCTCAGCGCAAATTGGTTGCCTAGAAATACGTACTCAGTGTACTTTACAATATATCCTGTGAAATGTTTTGAGATGTGAAGTTAATGGCTAATTTAATTTGGGGAATTGTTGACCAGGACATCAGAAAAGCCCCTTCTGTTTTTTGAAACAGTGCTAAGATATCTTGAATGTCCACCTGAGGAGGTAGACGGGGCATTAGTTCAACACCTCACCTGAAGGATGTCGCCTACCTCCAACAGTACAGAACATCCCAGCACTGCATTAGGGTGTCAACTTAGACTATGTCGGTTCCAAATCTCAACGTGCGGCTTGAACCCACAACCTTCTGACTTAGAGGCGAGAATGCTACCAACTGAACCAGGCTGACAATCAAAGGATAAAGGACACAGCTTGGATCAATGCACTGCTCCACTGCTCCTGGCCTCTGATCCTATCTAGCCAGCTCCTCCCCGTTAGCTGGCCGCAGAAATATTTCAGGCAAAAATGGAAAATACCTTTGGCATCTAAATTTAAAATTAAAATGTTCTCTTCATTTTAACCACATTGGAGCTGACTAAGCTAAAAAAAACAAGCCGGAAGAGAGAAACCATCTTCTATTAGTCTAAGGGATGTTCTGATCCCACGCCCCATAGGATCACAACATATTCTGCCCTTGTGATAATTACAGCCGGCACTAGTTAGCACACAATAATTTAATAATTAAACCCCACGTATTATCATCATACAGTATTAAATTCAATTCTACTGCAAAAATTGTACTGAAACCCATTACGGTATCTTGTTACAAAGTTACGTAGAGTGATACGGCACAATAAAAAGGCCATTTGGTGCTATTTTCCTCCATCTTTAAAAATAATTGTTCAGTTTTACATTGTAATTCTAAAAAGCTATTTGGTTCCTTCAAAGTACAGTTTATGCAGTTTTTATTCAAGAAAAATGTAAATATTTAATAAAAGCGTAAGCAGCTGTCATCCTCTATTACTAAAATTGAATCCAGTGAAACTTATTGGAGCCTGGAGCTTATTCAAAGGGAACACTAAGTGAGCTGGGATGAGGTTTTAAATTCGGCCTGTGTTAGTCAATAGAAAAATGTACAATTTCCGTTTTACTGCGGTGAGACAAATCCACTTAATTAATTGCATATGAATACTCCAGTTGGAAATGCATATCTAAGCATGGGGCCAAAACGGAGACAAATTAATCTATTTTGTTTCTTTCTCACAGATCAATACAGGTCTCCAGCCATCAGTCAAGGACAGAAGACACTGATTAGACAGAATAGTTTGGTTTGAGATAGATTAAGATTGTCAGTGTATGGCGGAGTTTGGCTTTGGTCCAAGCAACAGCTAAGGAAATGGACTGTATGTTGCACAGAACACTTTCCAGACACCAGGCAAAATAGAAGAGTACAATATCACCATTCTTATTGCGTAATAGTGCATTTAGGGTTAGGAGCAAAAGCACTGTGGTTAAAGGAAATGTTAATAGTGAATAAGAGGGGTTGGCTGAGTCAGAAGGCAATGGGGTTTAAGATCAATGTCAGAACTTTGAATTCACAGCCTAGTCTGATAGGCCAATATAGTGCTGGACGTGTGCTGCACTGGTGGAGGTGTCGTCCTTAAGATGAAATATTAAACCGAGGTCCTGTTTGCCTTTTCAGAGGGTGGTAAAGATCTAGTGGCACTATTTGAAACAGAAGGAAGTTTCTCCTGATATATAGTGAATCATCCCCCAGGTGAAAGTGGTCATTTATTTTATGGCTGTTTGTGGAACATTGCTGTCTGCAAATTGACTTCTACGTATGCCTATAAATATACATTTGTTACTATTACATGATATAGTTATTTTATGTTGATAACATATCAAAGTGTTTCACAACGTTTCTGTAAAGTACAGTAACTCGGTATTTGTAGGCAAACACAGCAGCCAATTTATGCCCAGCAATGCCCCACAAAGAACCAATGATTTTTTTATCTGAAGGATTGGTGGTCAGGATACCAGGAGAAACTCCCTTTCTTTTTTCGAATAGTGCCTTTGGATTTTTGAAATTTACCTAACCTGGTGGACAGGCCCTTGGTTTATTGTCTTATCTGAAAGTTTGCAATGCTCATAATCTGGAACACCTACAGCACTGATTTGGAATGGTCTTGTGGGAGAATATCCTAGGCTAAAGATAGTCCAGGTGATTAGATTGAAATTAGAGGTAGTGGGGTTGAGGGTGGAGGCAGAGATGTATAGTTGGGTGTTATCCACATACATGTGGAAGTTGACCCCATGTCTGCGGATGATGTCAACAAGAGGGAGCATATAGATATTGAAAAGGAGGGGACCAAGGACAGAGCCCTGGGGAATGCCGCACCAGATGGTTTCAGACATACAGCAAAATATCTGAAAGCACTTTACAAAGTGTAAGTTGAAGCTTGAGCTGGGAGGAAGGTGATGGGTACACAATCAATAAGGTGGGCTTTGGGGCAGGTTTTGAAAGCAGATATTGAGGGGATAAGGCAGATGGATTTTGGAAGAGAGCTCCAGAGAATGGAGACAAACT